TTTATGCGGTACATGACACTCATGAATCTATCAAAATGAACTTGTTTAGTTGAGATATTATTTGAGCTTTTGAGATGTTAATCGGCTGCTGTTGGTTGTAGAAAACTGCCTTGTTGCCATGGTTACGCATCATAACAAATGTCCAAAACTAAAAAAAGTTGCAGTAAAATCCTTCCAGCTGCACAGCATCCGATACCAGAGGAAATAAATAAACGAAAATAAATAAACATTAAGGTAAATAAATAAATAATGAAATAAAATACTAAAAATAAATAAATTTAATGATTTACCGGAAGCTGAGGGTGTGACCCAGTGGCGGTCCTAGCCTATTTGGCGCCCTGGGCGAGCAACCCCAACGGCGCCCCCACCCTGCGTGCAGGCCGTCGGTTTGCTGCTAAATTGTGCCCCCTGCCTGCTGTGTGGTGCATGACAGGCAGTTTGTGTCAGTAGGTCACTCCACCATCACAAGAACACTTCTTCCTCTTTTTTTCATCCTCACTGCCAACTCTTTCTATGCTTTCAGTGAATTTTGGTGTTCTGGGCTGGTGTCATGTGAGGTGAGCAGAGAACTTGCATGTTTTCAGTCTGTGAGTCCTGAATTTGTTAGACTTGTATTCCTTTTTGAAAACAACTTGCAACACAAGCAGAAAAGGCTGTTGTTTTTTTCCGAATACACCAACCAGCTTCTAAGCATCTTTTCACCACTAACTAACGTCTTCCAAAAATACTGGTGGTGGCAACTTCTATCATCATCCTCGTTCTTTGGAAAAACAAAGTCAGCTCTTACTTGACTTGGTCCTCTGCAAACTAACAGTGTGCAAATGTTGTTAGTCAGGATACACCATCAATTGTGTCATCATCAAACAGTCATGATTATATCCCTCATGGTGGTTATTTAATAGGCTATAAAACCTTTGTTGCAGCCTTATGCAATAGAGTAATTATGGCAGGCTAACAGTTTTTCTCAACTAATGTGATTAAGGGACTGTTAAACTGACATAGCAAATGACAAAAACAACTAAGCCTTTTTTTTTTAACCAAGCCTACATATATTTCCAATTTATGAAATTCATAGTAGAACTTATTGTTGGTGTGCACAGAAAGCTCAGGATTGACTGCACGAGACAGTATAAATGTAAATATGCAATCAAAATGTTTTTTTTTTAATTAAAATAGAAAATGTATATATTTAATAACGAACTATAAGTCTGTCTTTGTTTAAGAGCATTAATCAAAGTACTTCATTAGAAAAGCACAGATTTTTTTTTTGTGACAGCCAGGGTTCTGTATTATAACACAATCTGCCATTTCTAACTAAGCAAACCGTGCGAACATCTGTCCATCACTCAGTACAAACTGGGACGCGAGAAGGATCCAGCTTTTTAGAGACGAACCGTCACGCGCCGAAATACGTTCTGGATAAAATACAGTGAGAAACGGGACCGGAGGACAGTTAGCGTTTATGCAAATTAGCTTAGCATCGTAGCACCGACGTTGTCCTATTATGGCGTCAGCCTCTTTTGTTAGTTAAAAATATGTTCAGAACCGATGGGATGAGTCACTTAAAATATGTTTAAAGTTAGAAAACACTCACCATCTTCTATAAATGATTCAAGTAGAGCAGTGGCCGTGTCCAAACCACCCTCCAATCCTCCATCTAGCTCGCTTTGACTTTTTTCGTCGGCCACCAAGCACAACAAGACCTGCACTTCTGCATTTGACCACGGCTTTGATGTTATTGTTTTTGTATAGCTTCAAAATACTAAAAGATACACTCCTCGCGTTATCGCTAATGGCAAGCATAGAGAAAAAATGGCGGATCGGGTTGTTTGGAAAGACTCCACAGACTCCTCCCCCTGACCAATCAGTGACTGACAGTGTTTCTGACGTCACGGCTCGGCTCGCTTGGACCCCTTGAGAAGCCGGGCCAGAATTTAGGGAGGCGAGCCAGTCACAGGAACAGTGGAAAGACCTCAAACGCGCGTGAAGCCGGAAATATCCGACCCGCGCCGTGACGGTGGAAAAGGGGCATCAGATGGAGGCCGCGCTGAAACATTAGCGGCTCCAATGGGCCGTCAGTCTTTGACTTCCAGTCATCCAAAGTACATCACAAAATCATTGCCTTTAGAAATTATAGTGGCCCATTATTACTTTTCCATGTTGTTTGTTTAGTTTAAGAAGAATGTCAATCTTCAAGACGGTAATATTTTCCGCTGTTAACAAAAGATGTCGTCCTAAGCAGCTAACCAGTTAGCATTAGCAGGCTACAGCCTTCACATTTCACACAACAAGAAATGACAGTGACACACAGCTCTTCTTACCTTTTATCTTTTGCTCGTTTCTCCTCTTCTTCTTTTCTCTTTTTCCTAAACTGCGCACCCGATGGCTTTGACCTTTTCCTTTCCATCTTCCATAATTTGCATTTAAGCGGAATAGATTAACACCGCCACCAACCCAGGGTTGCCAGCCCAAAAACCTCCATATACACAGCTATGGGTGGGTTGTTACAATTTGGGCTGCTTTTGGTATAAAGTTTATTCATTTTAAAAAGGTACAAAACAATTCCATAACAATATAAAGAAGATACAAGAGATTTAAAATGAAAGGCAGCAGAAAGAAGAAAAAATCTTATTATATCTGCCCCTTTTTTCAAACAATTATTTCAATCATAATTTTCAAGTAACAGAACAAAATGAATAACTCTTTCTAATTTTTCTAATTCTAATACAAAACACACACTAAGCTACTTCATATGTATTATTTTAACAATCCAGCTTTGATCTTTTTCTTAAATGTACACATCGACTTGGCATTTTTCACATCACTCTCTAGACCATTCCACAATCCAACTCCTTGGTAGGTTTTCAGCAAGTTCTTATTGGAAAATTATATATATCTGTATTATTTTATAATTATTATATTATTACAATGTCTGCAGGGATCGTGGGCGCCGGGGGGGACGGGAGGGGTGTGGGTGGTGTTATGCTGCCCCCCTTCTGGAGGCCGCCCATATAAGGAACCGCCACTGGAGTGACGTGTGTTCTAGTTTCGGTTTTGTTGAAACGAACCCACGGTCACATGAACGAATCGAAACTTTAGAGTCTAAAATCAGCGGAACCAGTTATTGGAGCAGAGATGTGACGGACGGAGAAACACGGCCTGAGTTTTAAACATCTTACTTCTATAGTTTTATCAAACCTGCAGCGTCATCACGATGGCTGTGAACCCAGTTTCTGAGCTGCAAGAACGTGCGCAGAGAAACGGTCTGAGTCTGGTTTATGAGTTTCTGAGCTCAGAGGGACTGGACCACAACCAAACGTGAGTAGAAACTTTTTCTCTGCAGGATAAGATCATGTTCGAGTCCGGGATCATGACGTCACGGTGTTTTCCAAAGACCTTTTCAACGTACTGACCATGTTTCTACCTGTATGGCATGCCGTTTGGGTGTTTATTTAATAACTTGGGCGCTGCTTTGTGCTTTTCCTGCTGTCATAAATACGTCGTGATCAGTAAAAATGGTAATCCTTAACACAAATAAATCAAAACCGTACTTCAATATCCAAGTGAAATCCAAATTCTACAAAACATTATTTATTGCATAAAAAGATGCAACACAAAAAGGTGATTTTCTTAAATATTCATCCCCTTTAATGCGACTGTTCTAGATTAATTCAGATAAAATGTGATTTCCAAGGTCCCCAACGCCCTGGGAGTTTCGTCATCATCAAGACATGGAAATAACGTGGAACATGTGTAAATCTACCGAGAGCAGACCCTCCTCACAAAATGAGTGACCCTGTAGGAAGCAGAAGAGTGAGGGACCACCTGTGAGCACTCTGAAGGAGTTACAAGCTTCATCAGGTGAGACGGGACAGACTGAGCGTACAACAACTGTTGCCCGAGTTCATCGCCGGTCTTAGCTTTATGGGAAAGTGGCAGAGAGAGACGCTTTTAGGAAAACTCATTAAATAAGTAAAAAAAAAAAAAAGGACTAAACTTTGCTAATGAGTTTTCTTAAACAGCAGCTTTCTCTTTGCCACTCAGACTGGTAAAGAACTCGGGCAACAGTGGTTGTATGCTCAGTCCAAGCTCACCTGCTGAGGCTCACAACTCAATCAGAGGGATCACAGGTACTTTGTTGGCCCCTCGCACTATTTTCCTGCACAGTCAATCGCTTTGTAAGGACGGCCTACTCTTGGTAGACTTTCACATGTCCCATATTGAGCATTTGATTTCAAATTTAAACAGTATTAAGTAGAGTTTGTTGAAATGGGTATAATGGGACATCATTTGGGGCAGCGTTACTAAAACGCATTTAATTTCTGCCTTGGAAGATTTCACTGCAGAGTCATTGGTGCTAATACATTGGCTGGGAAACTTGTTACTATAACGTACGAGAAATAATATTTGCTGTATGCAGATTTTAATTAAGGTTATAAAATTTGTTAGACCATTGTACTATAGGCGTTAAAAATACTAAAATCTGTATGATCCAACATTTGTTTTGAAGTCTTGTTTTGAATTTTTAAAAACTGTATATGTTCTTGTCCCAAATTACCAGATGAAGTGCGCCAGTTTGGAACACCTTGCAAGTCATTACGAACAACATTTAAAGGGGGAAATAATAAAATAATTGGTAGTGAATGAGGCAGGTGGAACAGTGAGGCTACGAGGAGCAGAGGTCACAAAGGTGCAACTGTCCACGAAAACAGGAAGTGTGGTGAAGAAGAGGGTCCAGACAGGATGGAGAAAAGTTTCAGGAAGTGTGGTGAAGAAGAGGGTCCAGACAGGATGGAGAAGAGTTTCAGGAGTGATTTGAGACAGAACGGTGGCAGCAAAGGAAAGGAAGGGAAGGCTTATGGGACACTGGTGAAAAACAGCTGTGTTGTACCATGTTTCTGTCCATTACCCCTTTTCTATTAGTAACGGTACAGCACGGTTCGACTCGGCACGGTTCTAAGGCTTTTCCACCAGTAACGGTTCGTAGAACCGGTCCCTTTTTTCAGAACCCTTTTTCTCTTGGGTTCCAAGCAGGCCGAACCGGCACCAAAACGTGACGCCGGAACACTATTGGTCACTGATGGTGTGGGTGTTTCACCATTTTCAGCCAGATTTTGATGTTGTCGGTCCGGGGAGTCGAACCGGCGATCTTCTGATCACAGGCCCACCTTTTCTAACCTCTGCTCCACCATTCCCCCAATGTATGTCAGAGTCTCATGACTTCTGGCTAGGCCTGTCACTATAACACATTTTGCTGGGCGATTAATTGTCTCAGAAATGATTGCGATAAACGATAATATTGTTTGAAATTTGACAATAATTAGTAATTATTGTCAAATTTAAGGAGAACTGTTTAATTTGTTTTGCATGTACAGTAGTACCTTTTTTCAACCACCAGATGGCAGTATAAGACTGAATCGAAGGATGGATAGTAAGAGAGTGAGCAGCGTGTCTCTTTAAGAAAAATGAGAGGGAGGCTCCGTGACGTGACATGGGCTGTCTCTCTTCGGTTCCCAAAATGGCGGATGCTATGTGTGGTTTGAGCTTCTTAGCATAGCATTTTTCACGCAAAGCTTTTAATAAAAAGTCAGTAAACAAGTTCTCACTTATTTTTACAGAGAAAAACAACTTTTTACACAAAGGCACGGGCTTTAACCGTGAATTTTGGAGCTTCGACACGACGGAGGTTTTTCCCCGAGTTCGGCCTGTTAGCTTAGCTTCTCAGCTTAGCTGCTTGTAACGATCCAAAAACACGATTTTGGATGGTTAAAATGGATTTTAAAGCGAAAAGAGCGGTGTCTTCAGTAGAAAGTGAGAGACGAAGAATCGATAAAGCCGATAACTGAAAATGAGGTTGATAATTTTCATTTATCATGCAATCAGTTGATTTGTTGTTTATTGCAACAGGTCTAATTCTGGCGTCCCAGATGAGATTGCTTCAATCATAGGAGAGATTACTTGTTGTATTTCAGTAGTGGATATTGGTTCAAGGGGTCAGAGTTGGCAGCTTTCTTAAAGAAACTTTGTCCCAAGCATGTCACCTAAAACATCTTTTGTCTCAACTACAATGAAATGGTTAGCCACGCTTTGATAAATGTACATACACTTAATTTTTCCACATAAAGTAAGTCGACATCTTGAAGAATTAACTTGGGTCAATTCTAAGGCGTTAGCTCTTCCACAGGTTCTCCATGAGGGTTGTTTTGGATGGTAAAGAATATCCCAGTGGGGTGGGGAAAAGCAAGAAGGATGCCAAAAGAGATGCAGCTCAGAACGCCCTGAAGTGTCTGGACGGGCGTCAGGATTCAGTAAGACATTTACTCTTTTTTTAATTTAATCTGAGTACGTGAGTAAATGCGCAATATAAAATATTGTTTCAACAGGCAGACATATCAGCAGGAGCATCCGCCTCAGTTAGTAAGCCAACTATCAACTACATCTGTTGGCTCAATAATTATAGTCAGACGAACCTGGTGAGTGTAAAGCCGGAGGAGATAATCAAACCTGGACCCTACAACGAGTCTTAGTAAGTCTCCACCATCGATCCAGTTTGGCTACAGTGAGTATTCACATGACATTTAATAAATAATTCATTATTTTATTAAATTAGTTGGTGTAGGTTTGTGGTTGGCGACAAGGAATATCCGAAGGTTTGTGGAAAAACAAGGAGAGAAGCCAAGGAGAATGCAGCCAAGCTGGTGCATGATACGATAACAGGGACTATAACTGCAGATGTAAGTACTGAGACATACCTGACAGGTGTACTACAAAGCAAATTAGAAATAGCTTTAATTTATTTTCATAGCCTAACTTAACAAAACGTAAAACTCCAGGAGGTAACCGGTTCTATAGGACTGTGGTTCTGAAGTCACTTTACCGCAGACTTGCTTATTTAGCTTTACCAAGTCTATATTAGCTTAGCCTATCTTTTCCTATCAGATTACATCATATCCCAGCCTCACCTGAATTAGCTTAGCCTAGCCCAGGGGTGTCAAACCCACTTACAAAAGGGGCCAAAATTAAAACCTTTTTCAAACTAAGGGCCAATTTCAGAAACTACATTAACTCAAATCAGATACCCGACATCTTTTCTTGGTCACAGGTTCTTCAACAAGAGTTTGATTGGTCTCATTTGATGTTCTCTGTTGTGCTTTTGACATCATAATCAAAGATTACTGAAAAAATTCAAGATATAGAAATAATCTATGTTTCACATATCATATTGGGGGCCAGATAAGATGTCAACGAGGACCATATTTGGCCCCCGGGCCTTGAGTTTGACACATATGGCCTAGCCTGTCCTGTCCTGTCATATCCAGTTTTATTTTATTTTATCCTATCCCATGCGAGCCTATCCTACCATGTCCTATCAAGTCTTATCTGTCCTGTCCTACCATGTCCTATCCAGTCTTATCTGTCCTGTCCTATCCTATCATATCCGGTCTTATCCTATTCTGTCCTGTCCTATACGGTTCTATCCTACCATGTCCTATCC